GGAAACAGCCGAGACACTGCAGCAAGGGCAGGGGGGCACCGAGGGGTCCAGGGCTCTGCAGGCTCAGGGACCAGGGCCAGCTCAGCCTGGGGAAGGCAAACTGCAGCCCCCAAAACCTGTGGGAGCGATCATTTGGAAGATAACGCGAGGGTCTCCACAGCAATGCCTAGCGGAGACGCAGGAGACAATGAGCCGAATGTAAATCAAGAGGCTCAGATGGGATGTAAGAAAAATCCTTTCTCCCTGAGAACAGTCAAGCAGCGGAGCAGGCTCCCTGCCAGGGAGGCTGTGTAAATTTATTTCATCCTTGAAGGATTGCCCCGGTGCAGACCTGCTCTGAGGCCACTGGTAATCCTTCTGCAGGCTGTACTGGCCTATGATCCTGGGGAGGGGGAGTGGTGTGAGAAAACAGATTATTTTTTTTTTCAGTCGACCTTTATTAAAACTTTGGACAGTATTTATAATTAATTCAAGGGAAACGAGTGTGATTGCTGAACCCAGATTTGAACCTGTTTTTCAACAAACCAAGCAAGGAAAAAACCCACATTTTTCGCTGCGAATGAGCACAGACTAAACGTTAAAAGGCAAATCACTTTTCACGTCCCTTCAGCGTGGCTTGGGCTGAAGCTCACGGTTAGCACTTGTCTCTAGCGAGTCACCGCTTCAGAGCAGCCCGAGCGGCTTCACAGAGGTAGTGGAGAGCCACCTTGGGGTAACCTGCGCTACTGCGACTGTCCGGACCGACTCCAGCGGGCTGCACACGCAGACCTCTCTAACTTGTCAACCTTGCTGTTCACTAGCCTACAGCCGCATCGTCCCCATCCAAGTGTGTTGAAACCCGGGGATGTCCTTTCCAGTACTTCACTGGGAGTCCTGGATGAAGCACGTCTTATCTGACTTTATATGCTATACTCTGCTCAGTTTCAGTCTCTTTGAGCAATAGTTTCCAAAATGCCTCTCAAACTGAGCCACTTTAATGAGCTGCCGTGTTTCTACTTCCAGTTGTTTCTAGCCCTGGTGACACTAGTGCCCTGGTGACACTACAGGTGACAGCATTCGACCTGGCAGTAATCACTTAGTGAGTTTCCATTTTAGACTAGTGACAGCATAGGCATAGTCTGCCAGATACATCCAGCCTCTCTAAGAACATTTCTCTGCTGTCTACAGAGCTGTCAGTACTGGGGAGAAAACTCTTCATTGTAAACACCAATTCTCAAGCCTCACAATCTTTTTTACCCGACTAACATGCAAAGACTCGGAAACCAAACCAGTGACCTGTAAGTCTGAATTTGCTTAGGAAGGGCATAAACTCTTAGTTTGCTTTCTCTAAAAAAGATGTGAGAAGTTTCCAGAAAACTATCTCCTGGCCTGTACTCAGGCAAGTGCAATTGTCTCCATTGCTGGAATTAGCATAGTGTACATAGCATGTATAGTTCATTCTCAAAAGATAAAAACCCTTCATACATATGCCTCTTTCTTTTTCCTGTTTATTTTTTTTTCTCTCTAAGCATATAAATGGGGATGAATGCAGGAGTATAGCTTGAATGGTAAGATACATTAAGTGGTATGTCTCTTAGAAATATTCAAGGGCCTATTTCTGATGAATTAGGTGGAAAATCCAGAACTGACTCACAACTTTGAAAGATGCTGATATCAGCTATGACTTTGATGACTTTCTCACTACAGTAAAAGTGAAAGTTACTTGAGATGGATCTGAATTAGTAAGCCAAAGTAACTCAGAGTGGAGAACAGTGTATATGTATATGTAACAGTAAAATATATATAATTGTTTAGATAATAAAGTGATGTATGGAACCTTATTAACACATTAATCCTTCGACATGCAAGTTTTCAGTTTCAGCTTAATGATGCTGCACCCTGGAATTAGGGCTTCTTGACATCACACTTTTCAGTTTGCCCCATTATTCCCGGGTCTCCTAGCACAGATGGTGCTGAAGGCCGTAAAGCATTCATTGCTAGGTACTTGATCCAGCTTATTTCAAGCCACAGTATCGACACCAGGCCTCTGGCACAGAAGAGGAGGTGTGGAAAGGAGAGCTGTGCAAAGCCTGCGCTGACCTCTCGTGGCCGGATCGCTGCTGGCTCCCGCGGCTCCGAGACACGGCTCCCCTCCCGCTCCCGGGCCCGGAACGCTTACAACGGAGACATAGGAAGAGAAAAAACAAACAAACCAACAGACAAACAAAAAAACCAAAACCCCCCCCCAAAAACCAAACAAANAACAAAAACAAAACAAAACCCCAAAAACCAAACAAATAACCCCAAACCTAAAATAACAACAATGAAAATAAGTAAGCGCTAACAACAGCCAACCAACCAACCAACCAAGTAGACTTTGACGCATCCTACATAAAGAAATCCCCTAAAGTGTGTTACCTGATCCACAGACATGCTTGAGGGTAGGAAGGCTCTACAGAGACCTGGGCAGACTCAGTCAGTGGGCCAAGACCACTCCCTGAGGCTCAATAAGGCAAAGTGCTGCCCTTTAGTCTCAGCAAACCCCTGCTGCGCTGCAGGCTGGGGGAGAATTGGCTTAAGAGCTGCTGGGCAAACCTGGGGGTGCTTGTTGAGAGCCAGCTCAGTGTGAGCCACCGTGTGCCCAGGTGGCCAAGAAGGCAGTGGCATCTTGGCCTGAACCAGGGCAGTGTGGCCAGCAGGACAATGGACATGATAATCCTCCTGTACTTGGCGCGGCTGAGGCTGCACCTCGAGTCCAGTTTTGGCCCCTCTGACACCTCCAGGACATTGAGGTGCTGGAGCTTGTCCAGTTAAAGTTCAACAAGGCTCATGGAGGGACTGTCAAACGTCTTATGAGGAATGGCTGAGGTAGGTGGGTTTGTTTAGTCACGAGAAGAGCAGGCTTAGGGGGGACTGTGTCATTCTCTGCAACTCTCTGAAAGGAGGCTGTAGTGAGGTGGGAGTTAGTCACTTGTACTGTCCCTGCTGTGAGAGGACCAGAGGAAATGGTCTTCAGCTGAGACAGGAGAATCAGATAAGATATTAGGAAAAAAAAGTCACTGTTAGGGTGCCTAGGCATTGGAATAAGTTGCCCAGAGAGGTGGTGGAGTAACCATCCTGGGAGATTCTTAGGAGGCACCTGGATCTGATTCTGGGTAATGTGGTTTAGTGGTTTAGAGTTACAGTAGTGCTGGGTTGGTAGTTGTACTGGATGATCTTAGAGGCCCCTTCCAACCTTGATGATTGTATGGTTCTAAACCAGCCCCCCAGTATAAAAGGTGAGAGACAGAGTAAGGGGGAGATAATATATTCAATCCCAAGGAAGGCAAGGAACCCGGCAGAATTTAACAGATAAAAGTGCAAAAGCATTGCGGCTGTCTAGCTGAAAATAAACATACGCTTCGTCATTTTGCAGAGGAAATAGCAGCGTGTCTCCAGCTGAAGTGCAGCACTCACAGACATTACCTCTTGGCCTAAGTGAGAGGAGACTCAAACCTTCCACATCAGAGAAGGCTTGCAAGCCATGGTAATAGACAGCCCAGCCATGGGGCTCCTACACTGCACTCACCTGCCTAGTGCTGCCCTGGCTTGTGCTGCACATCCAGACTTTGCATCAGAAAGACTCTCTTTACCAAGGCAGACCAGTCCTTTCAGTCAGATGGAGTACTCCCTCCTCAGTGTCTTTCCAAATCCATCTCCCTCTCCCTTTCCATTTCCATCTCCCTTTCCCATTCCAGTCCTCCATCCATTTCTCCTCTCTTCCAGACCTATTATAATCACCCAGCAAGCTGCTTTCTCCAGGTGTGGCATCTCACAAAACAAAAACAAAATCAAAAACTTTTCTACTGAACACAAGTTTTAGGAGGCTCTACAAATTGTCTGGTTAAATTCAAGCTGATTTTGAATTTCTAGCAGATCAACAGGTCACCTACCTAATCCTCATATAATTTCTTTCTACTGAACCTAAAACAGATACTGCTGATCCCCACACCTCGTAAACCAAGTACATAAACTTTATTCTGTGAAACTTCGGCCACAGAAGTGACACTA